CACACACAAACAAACATCCACTTTAAAGTGGAATAAGATAAAAAAAAAAAAAAAGTGCGCTTCTGCATCCACTGTGACGGTCCATCCAGCAACAAAGAGGTGACTGATGGACAGACTGGGAGAGATGAAGTCACTGACCAGCCTGTTGTCAGACTGCATAAAGGATGAACATGTGCCTGTATGTGTGTGCGATTGAACCTCTGTGCTATTGTCACACTGTTAACCCAGGGGAGATTACCTCATATCCATCTCAAAACCCCCCAACCCCCAACTCCAGCCTGCTGTTGCCATAGTGAAGTCACCCAGTATTAATCAGAGGCTATATTAACAACCAGCTCTTATTGGTTGGGATGCCCTCTACCTCAGAGGGCACGTGCAATAGGTGAATGTACACCAACAAGTACAGCACACACTAATTAGAAACGGTGTGTTCTAATGTCCTTTAACATGTACTGGCTTATTTACTAATTCAAACAATCAGATTTACATTGATAAGTTGGTCAATATTAGCCGAGAGCAAATACAATATTGGTATTGGTGGGAAATAGTAGTACACAAATGCTAAGGATATACCTGAGGTAGTTCCCGGTCTCCATTACGCAGTTTGTTGACGAGAAAGCCCTGGCAGGTTTAATTTTTATCTTTAAAATGAGTGCGTCTTGATCACACTTCTTCAAAAAACTGCTGACGTCCCGCACAAATCAGTCATAAAATGATTTAATGATACTGTCAAGGCTGTCAACCTCTCAAATATTAACCCCACTACTGGCCTCTAAAATTCAGTACCCATTGAGCTATGATCGAAACATGTAATGAATTCACACAGCATGAGAAATACACACACAAGTCCCAAGACCAACTGTACTCCATGTATGCCAGCATACTTTGAACTTCAAACCCTCTGGTTCACTAGCTGACCTTGGATGCCGCACTGACAGCAAACGACACTGAGTCACGCCACCGGGGGGCATGACTGGGCACTGGGCACCAGAAAACACCACTTGTGATTGGCTGAACGAGGGGTCATAGTCAGCAGCGACTGGTCGAACAGGAGCATCAGTCAACAGTGATGTGTTTTTCAGGGCCCACAGTGAGGCCTGCGCCAAGCAGAATTACCGCTGGCTTGTCTTTGGCGCCCAGCTGGACTGCAGGACATTTCTGTGGCAGGCCAGGCAAATAGCTCTATATGTGACAGATGAGGCTCTGCCGGGCCCTGAGGAAGGGGCAGCGCCTGCTCCCTAACATTTACAAAATGATAACAGGCATCAGATAAATGGCTCCAAGGTAAGTGATGGCATTCAGTATCTAATGTGATGAACCTTAGATGAAAATTAAATAAGGAAGATCTCTGCCCTCACATTCTACTTGTCCACAGTGGACTGACATGGGATGTGCTACATGTCATTAACTGTGTCTCCTCTCTCCTGTATAGCTTGTCCTCTCTCTCCCTGGACCTTTCTGCAGGTGTTCGTGGCTCTACAGCTGTACATTCATCATGAGCAGTCACTAGCCACATTAACCTACCCAGTGTTTGTTTGTTGCATCTTGATGCTTTGCTTTTCTGTTCTCTCTCCTCTATAGACTCACCCCAACCGGTCAAGGCAGCACAGCCGTCCACAAGAGCCAGGATCAGGCGGAGGTTTTCTTTACTCCCCACTGCCTGCTCAAGGGGGATTTGTTGGTTTTCTCTCTATTATACTGTAAAGTCTAGATGCCTTGAGATAAGTTATGATTTGGCACGGTACAAATACATTGAATTGAACTGCTCCAAACCACCACAGGCATCTAGACTCTGGAGGATCATCCTATCTCCTGTCTTCATGTGGACGTACTCCTAATGAAGATGCTTCACATCTAATTGCCAAAAATAAATTCTCTGTGTTACTCAACACAATAAATTCCATTATTCTCATCCATTTGATCTCTCCTTATTGAAATGATATGTGGCTGTGGTTTTCATTTCTTTGCTAGCTCTTAGTATACCATATCAGAACTCAAAATGTGATCACATCTTCTTATTGTAATAATTCAACCACGTTTTAATTGAGAACACACACATATTACATATTTAAAGGCTGAAAAGATGCACTCTAACAATCATCTCCTTGTGTTGGTGGTAGCACAATTTTTCTCAGATACTGTGCACTCCAAATGTTGTCTTCTTGACTGTGCGGGGTCTTTACATAAATCAATATCTATCATTCAGAGAGCACACCGCCTCTATGCACCAATACTGGTTAGATTACAATATGCTGTGCTCATAATGCATTTAATCTCAAGTAAGATTCTGGGACCAATTTCCTTAATGTAAGAACAAAAACTGGTAGCAGCATATCTACAGCAAACAACAGTAAACACTCCCAGAATAAACACTGACCCCCTTAATGTCATCACTTATTCATTATATGCCTCTGTAGATGCCAACTATCCCTCAGCCTAATTATCATGTACAGCACAATATTGACAGCCACCCCGGCATCTACGCTGCCCTTCTCCCACCTCTTCTCTTCTTTACTCCACCTTCCTCAGTTCTGTCACTGATCCTGATCCTTAAGGGGAAACACCGCTTCTGCTTTGGGTGAACAAACAGACGATGACAGAGTGAGCATTAGCCTGTCCATATTTTAACCAACTGTGTGATTTCCTAGTCAGTGTAGACTTGTATTTTTCTTTTTATCCAGTGCCATGAATATACACTATTACTATTGTGCTTTGCTGGCTTTGTCAGATGAAATGAGTAACTCATGGCTGAATGGGAAGAAAAGATGATAGGACCGTAGAGCCATATTACTGTATATAGAGACCCTTTTATCCTTGTATCATCTGGCTTCTCATAGTCCCACTCAGAAATTAACACACTATCCTTTTCTCCCCATCTTTCTCTCTCTCACACACACACACACACACAAACACACACAAAGGCAATGAGTCAGATGGGATCAGTCCTGTGAACAAGCGACAGCAGCTGAGCGGACACGCTGAGAAACTCATTCCTTCTTCCCAAGAAAAAACTGAACCAATGAATAATTGCTACAGGGTAACCAATCAGGCGTCGCTGCAAACAGCTGGCTACAGAGAAAACAGAGACAGAGGGCTGGAAAGAAGGAAACAGACCAGAGAAAGTCAGCAACTCCTGGAGGAGACCTTCCTCTCACATTTTTTCTTGCTTTCTTTCCGACTGAGGCCAGAAACTCTAGTCAGCAGTGTGTAAAGCTGGAAGAATACTGAGACCAACAAAAAGAGAAATACAGGTTTTCTTGCAAATAAACAGTCCTAGAAATGCTGTTTTAAGAACCAAACAGACTCTGCGGTCTGAAAGACGAACCAGGCTTTAAACAGAAACACTAGGGAGAGAAATAGCAACATCGTTACCACACACTCCAAAGCCAATTCTACTCAAAACAACTCCAAAGCACAGGAAACCTGTGAGAGATGATGAGGAGTCTTGTTGCCTTACCCAAAATCGTCCAGGGAATACATGTCACTGAAGAAGACAGAACAGTCTTCAAGCAATGAATGAAAGAAGGTATAAAGGGGAGATTAGGGAGAGGAGAACTCTCTGCACATGCTGCCCAGCGCTGACGCTAACTCGGCCCTTTCCCCTTCTTCATATCCTCTGAAAATGTTTTTTAAGAAGTCCACTACACCAACTAAGCAGACACACAGTAAGAGAGAGTGGGAGGGAAGAAGTGAGGGAGAGAGATGAGGAGTGTTGTAACAGAATAAGGGAATGTGTGAGAGAGAGGGAGACAGCATGTGACCAGTGCAGACCAGTCAGCTGAGTGCTGCCTTTCAGCCTCCAAGGAATCTTTTCCACTGGATGGAAATTACATGTTAGCCTACATAAGAAACAGGAGTGCGTTTACACCCGTACTTCTATGACAAAAAAATAAATAAACCACAGAGATGCTTTAAATAGAGTCTACAGTAACTCAGCTTTTACAGTAAAAATGCATGTGAGCCATAACTATTAACTGGAGGGCAGGAAATTACAGCAGCACACACACCAGTTAATTCATTCAGCTTGGCTTTTCATAAGTTAACACTCAGACACACTGCAGAAACACATGTAATGCAACAAAGATTTCATTCACCTGGTACAACATTTGTGGTTTTTGTTGTGGCTTTATTAGAGTTTGTACTCAACCTGTCGCCCATCTGTCCAAAACAAACTTAGACCATTAAGCTTCTTTGCCACAGCGAATGTGGGAAACAAACGAAGAGCAATCTATTCCACTAAATGATTAGGAGGCTTTGTGGGTTTAGAAAATATTAAGCAACATGCAACAGACCCTGAGTTTAAGATGGAGCCTGGAAGGTCAGGGAAGTACAAGATCTATTTAGTCAAAACAGGA